TGGAATTGGCCATAGATCGAGCACATCGAATCCCAAACAATCATTTTTACCTGTGACGATTCCCAGAGATATATTGGCGTGCATACACTTTTACCACGTAAAGGAGAAAATAATGATTGCAGCCAGACATCCGACCTCCATTCCTCCAGCCCAAGCAAACATTAAATTGTTCGCAGAGCTCTCTAAAGCAACACTAACCAATCGTAAGAAGCTCATTAGCATAACCAAAGCACCAGGAAACCACAACATCGCATATCAATTGAGCTTCCCTACGAAATTGAACATCAAGTACCAAGGCAGATTCTTCACAATCAACTCCCTAGAGGCAGGTATCGAATTACTGAAAACATGGAACATTATACCAGCAGATTCCCATCAGTCAACATCCAACCAACTGCAACAAATGGAAACAGGAAGATCATAGCCTTCAATCAAGCATATTACCTCCACATTCAATTCCCTGGACGCAACTCTCTAAAGCAGTGGTTCTCAACCTTTCTAATTCCGCGACCCCTTAATACAGTTCCTCATGTTGTGGTGACCCCCAACCATAAAAATATTTTCGTTGCTACTTCATAACTGTAATTTTGCAGTGGGGAGGAGTAGTGCCACGTCATTGGTGTCAGTGGGAGGAATAGTGTCCCATCACTGGTGTCAATGGGAGGAATAGTGCCCCATCATTGGTGTCAGTGGGAGGAATAGTGCCCCATCATTGGTGTCAGTGGTAGGAATAGTGGCCCATCATTGGTGTCAGTGGGAGGAATAGTGCCCCATCATTGGTGTCAGTGGTAGGAATAGTGCCCCATCATTGGTGTCAGTGGGAGGAATAGTGCCCCATCATTGGTGTCAGTGGGAGGAATAGTGCCCCATCATTGGTGTCAGTGGGGAGGAATAGTGCCCCATCATAGGTGTCAGTGGGGGGAATAGTGCCCCATCATTGGTGTCAGTGGGAGGAATAGTGTCCCATCACTGGTGTCAGTGGGAGGAATAGTGCCCCATCATTGGTGTCAGTGGGAGGAATAGTGCCACATCATTGGTGTCAGTGGGAGGAATAGTGCCCCATCATAGGTGTCAGTGGGGGGAATAGTGCCCCATCATTGGTGTCAGTGGGGGGGAATAGTGCCCCATCATAGGTGTCAGTGGGGGGAATAGTGCCCCATCATTGGTGTCAGTGGGAGGAATAGTGCCCCATCATTGGTGTCAGTGGGGGGGAATAGTGCCCCATCACTGGTGTCAGTGGGAGGAATAGTGCCCCATCATTGGTGTCAGTGGGAGGAATAGTGCCCCATCATAGGTGTCAGTGGGAGCAATAGTGCCCCATCGTTGGTGTCAGTGGGGGGAGGAATAGTGCCCCATCGTTGGTGTCAGTGGGGGGAGGAATAGTGCCCCATCGTTGGTGTCAGTGGGGGGAGGAATAGTGCCCGATCGTTGGTGTCAGTGGGTGGAGGAATAGTGCCCGATCATTGGTATTAGTGACACCAATGATGGGGCACTATTCCTCCCACTGACACCAATGATACTTATCTTGCTGACCCCTGCTCCAGCCTGGGCTCGCTCGCTCCCTCCCTCTCCCATGGTACAGACACTTACCGGTCAGATGTCTTCCTTCTCCGGCTGCTCTCCTCCTCTTCACTCGCTCGAACTTCGCGGTGCCCGCTCGGCTCCTCCTCTCCAAGCTCCGCCTCCTCGCCGGTGATTGGCCGCCTGTGTTCCTCTCCTGAGCTACAGTTCCGGCGGCCAATCACCGGCGAAGGATTGATCCCGGGGGTGTGCCCAGATGACAGGGACGGCATGTCATCCCGCCCACACCTGGAGACAGATAGAGGAGCGGTGTCTCGGTTCCTAAGGCCATAGGAAATATGTGTTTTCCGATGGTCTTAGGCGACCCCTGGGAAAGTGTCGTTCGACCCCCAAAGGGGTCACGACCCCCAGGTTGAGAACCGCTGCTCTAAAGCACTAGCTGGCAATCGGCCCCCGATCGATTGAACATACTGATCACCCAAGTCCGTTTCAAGCATGAGCTCTCGGAAGACCCATGCTTTCTCATGCCCCCACTTTACAAAGTAGCAGATACTGCTACGCATGTTTACTTGCGTTGTTTGCAAGGGTTTTTTTTTACCCGTTATTACCCTGGTTTTTACCCCAAGCTACCAGTCATTACTCACTAAAATTGCCCTTTTTAATAACCCCCTTCACAAAGTTGAACTCTCAATCAACAAAAGCAGCAATCACATGCTTACAAAACTGCACACCTGATGTTCCATCGTCTCCAATACAAGGACGTCCACTCCTCTTTCTGACATCCGAACCACCAAAACTACGATATTCAAACCATCTACAATCAACAAAATGATTACTCTATTCTTGCTAAATGTCCGAGGTCTCAATTCCCCCTTCAAAAGATCCTTGCTCGCAAAAGAAATCCGCACTACCCAACCTGATATCATATTCCGACAAGAGACCCACCTCGCCTCTGCAAAAATTCCTAAATTCAACATTCCTCGGTTCTCTACAGTATTTATGGCAACGATTCCCAAAAAGAAAAACAGCGTCATTATAGCCATAAAAGACTCCCTGAAGTTTCAATTTATTGCGGAAATAGCGGATCCACAAGGTCGCTACCACATACTAATCTGCAAAACCAACGACTCTACATATACATTAGTGAATGTCTATGGCCCTAACACCAATCAAATCCACTTCTTTAGCAAACTTAACTGCACCATTAATCGACACAGAAATGGCAGACTACTCATCGGAGGCGATTTTAACATCATTAGCAATCCTCTTCTGGATTCTTCATCCACCAAAAGATCTTCAAAACAATCCTTCAGCCAATTTCTCCACTCCAACGATCTCTATGACATCTGGGAGATGCCAACATAGTACAGAAAAAGACTATACCTACTATTCTCCACCCCACTCAACCTACTCTAGAATCGACTTCTTCATCACCGATAAATAGACACTGCAACACATCACCTCCTCCGAGATCAGCACTATCACGTGGTCAGACCATGCTCCGATCACAATCTCTCTTGACAGCAAACAACATTCCTCGATACCCCGTTTATGGCGACTGAACTCGTTCCTGCTGAAAAACCAAGACTACAAGCAACAGATTATAGATGCACACAGAACATTCGTCGAATTTAACGACACCCCCGGTTTATCCATAACCACTCTCTGGTCAACATATAAAGCATACATAAGAGGTATTCTGATAAAACTAAACGCTCTCTCATAAACAAAAAAAGATCCCAACAAATAGATAATCTCCTAACATCAATCAAAATAAATGAAGAAAAAAAAAAAAAAATCTCCAGACCCAACAACCTCTGCGTCCTTGACAGCAGATAGAAATAAATTAAGATCCCTCCTACTCCATAAATATGATCTGAATCTCCAAAAATGATAGCAAAATTTTACTCACTTGGTAACAAAGCCAGCTCGTTGTTAGCCAAATCGGTTAAACTAAAACGGCTGAAATCCAAAATAGCCTCAATTAAACACCCATCTACGAATACCCTGAACACTAATCCCCAAGACATAGCAAACGCCTTTGCAGTATACTACCAAAATCTTTACAACCTCAAAAATGACTTTAACACCAACCAACAACCACATTCCATACAACAATTTCTCCAAACGATCAACCTCCCCCCGGTTATCCACAGATCAACTTGACTCCATCTCTTGTCCAATATCGCGCCCAAAGAAATAGAAATGATCATTAAAACACTTCCAATTAATAAATCACCAGGGAACGACGGATACACTAATGAATACTATCAATTCATGGCCACAGAATTATCACCATACCTGTCCAAACTCTTTAATCACACTGCCTCCACAGGCTCAATCCCCAAAGACATGTTGCAATCTATTATAAACAACCATCCCAAAGCCTGGCAAAGATCCACAACTAGTCCAAAACTACAGGCCAATTTCGCTACTCAATACCAATATAAAATTATACGCTAAAATCATATCCCAAAGAATTCTCCCCTACCTAAGCCCAACCTAATACACCCGGACCAAGTAGGCTTCATTCCAAAGCGTCGCCAAGCACATCAACCATCTGCACAAGTTGGTTGAAAGTTCTGACAGATGGCACACACTATCCGATCCTTTCGATATTTCTAACGGTACAAGACAAGGCTGTCCACTCTCCCCGATAATATTTACACTCCTTATTGAACCCCTAGCTTCCAAACTCAGAGAGGACAGAACATTCACAGGAATCACACATCTTAACATGGAACACAAAATTAGCCTATTTGCAGATGATATAATATTAATGGTGACTAACCCTAAAAAATCCCTCCATGTGATTCGCTCACATCTACATACTTACTCAACAGTTTCATACTACAAAAACTCAACGAAAACCAAATCTTCCATACTCAACCTTCACATCTCAACCCAACTCCAAACCCAACTAGCTAAACAATTCCCATTTTCATGGGAAAAAAGTAGCATCCCATACCTGGGAATAAAACTTACACCAACAACGGACCACCTTTACACAGCAAACCACAAAATACTGCTTGAAAAATTACCCCAAGAAACTAAGCACTCTACGCACCTCAGAACTCTCCAAACTAGGCCGAGTGGCAACACTAAAGATGTAGATTTTACCCAAAATCTTATACATATTCCGTACACTCCCCTTACCAATCCCTAATTCATTCTTCTCTAAACTACAATCAATCCTTACAAAGTTCCTATGGAATTTGAAAAAACCAAGATGTACCACCAACTATTAAGACCTACAATTAAAGGAGCAGCAGGACTCCCGCACATCAAATCTTACTACACGGCTGCCCTCTTAGGCCAACTATATTTTTGGTGGAATCCTTCGAAGGAAAAAATCTGGTCCATAATGGAAACCCTTCCCTTCCAACCACTTAAACCCCAAAATATACTCTTGTCCCCACTGTCCAAAATCATAGAACCCCACCTAAAACATCCCTGCATTAGAGCTTTCCTGCAAGCTTGGCGAGACGTTCTATCCACTAAATTTAAAGATATTAAACATGTACCTACTCCAACCAATATACTACACCACTACATCCCTTCTTTGGACCTCTCAATGGACAAAACAAGGAATAACTAAATTAGCAGATCTCCATTTCAACCAATCGTTACACTCCTTCCAATCTCTCCAAACCAAATATAAATATCCCTACTACTGAAAATTTTACATACTTAAGAATCGCTCATTTTTTACATACAAATAAATTACCCCACAACACCATACTACCAATCACAGCTTACACCTTTTTCACCAGACCCCAATACCCGAGTAAAGGTATTTCCACTTTCTATGCGCACCTCAGCAACTCACAGTTCACTTTACAAACAACCTCCCTAACCAATTGGGAAAAAATCCTTTCAACCCAAATCACCTTAAAATGCTGGGAAAATACCTTCAACATCACTTATAAAGCTACCCGATGTAGCTCCCACTGGGAATCATATCTAAAAATACTCCATCAATGGTACCTGACCCCGATTAAACTCTCGATTTACTATCCGAAACATGCTCCTACATGCTGGAGACATTGTGGCAAACTAGGCTCAACAATCCATATTTTATGGTCATGCAAGTCACTTCGATCCTTCTGGAATACTACATTCCAATTAATATCCGAAAAAAAAAAATCTCCGGATAGTCCCGAACCCCTTATTGGCACTACTTCACATTGGAATAGGGAAACTCTCCACCCATTCCAGAACAATTATTACCCCACATACTCTTTGCAGCAAAAATTAATATTACTGGATTATAGAATACGAATAATACCCCCTCAATCACTTCATTAATTATAGACCTTAACACCCAACGTCAAATGGAAAAACTATCCGCAATTAACACTTCCTCCTACCACAAATTCAACACACAGTGGACCCGATGGCTAAAACACCCAAAATGTTCTATACAACCCTGATGACATTTCAAGAGACGAAATCATATCCCATACCAAGACTGGTATCTCAATTTCCCAGTTAGATCCTTCCCCCCTTGTTCTTACACCCCCCCCCCCATAACTCCCGAAATCTCACCAAAAAAGCTCATCAAATATACACGAATACCTGTGATGATATTGCTAAAACAAGACCAACACCTCATCCATCGAAGAATGGAATTACAACAAAAAGATCAATCATATTTTGTCTATTGTAATATTGTATGACTGAATCATTTATCCTTTCCCTGTTTTTCCCGTGTTTACCCTTGAAAAACTCAATAAAAATTATTGAAATATAAAAGTAAAAAAAGTGTATTTATTTTTTTAAATATTTGAGTTTGGGAAAAAAAAAAAAAAAAAAACACA